AACAAGAACTACGAGAAGGCCCTGGAGGAGATCGATGAGAACCTGATCTACTGGCCGCGCTTCATCCGGCACAAGTGCAAGCAGCGCTTCACCAAGATCACCCAGTACCTGATCCGCATCCGCAAGCTCACCCTCAGCAGGCAGTAAGGGGCAGGGCTGGCACCTCCTGACAGGGGCAGGGAGGGAGCAGCTTCGTGCTCGCAGGGCCTGAAATCACCCCTGTGTGAAATCACAGGGCATTTGAACCAGCCCCTCTATCTGCTGGAGGGACAAAGCACCAGCAAGCCCAGGGAAGCTGTGGCTGCCCCATCCCTGGGGGTGTTGAAGGGCAGGTTGGATGGGGCTTGGAGCAGCCTGGGCTGGTGGGAGGTGTCCCTGCCCATGCAGAGGGGTTGGATCTAGATGATCTCTCAGGTTCCTTCCCACCCGAACCATTGCATGACTCTGTGACCACCCTGGCTTGGCTCCAAGTCACTGCCTGCCCACCAGCTCCCAGAGCTGCTTTCCTCTGGCAGGCCTGGAAATGAACCTAGCCAAAAATGGGTTTAACCAGTGTCCTGAGAATATAAATGCACTCAGACGAGGTGCAGCCCCATTCTCAGGACACAGCTCCTGGCTGTTGCCCTGCACAAGTTCTCCATCATCTGCTCCAGATGGGCAGATTTACTCACCAGCTTTTGTTGTTCCCTGTAGGAGGAAACTTGTTCCTTTACGCAGGAAGATTGAAAGGAGAGAGAAGAGGAGAGAGGTAATAAGACCCTTTCCTGTGATCCCCTCAGTTGCTTCTGTTCCCTGTGTCTTCCAAACTACTGACACTGCTCCTTTTTGCTCCACCAGGAGAAAGCCCTGGTTGCTGCTCAGCTGGATAATGCCATTGAGAAGGAATTGCTGGAAAGACTGAAACAGGCTACAGTAAGGAGCAGTGCCCTCAGGGCACAGCATCAAACTGTTCCCCTGTCCTGCTGGGAGGGGCATGGGTGCTGGGAGGAAAGAGAAGCATCACCCATGTAGGAGGGGCTGGGGACAACTGCTCACTGCCCTTCCTGGAGAGCTCTTCCCCCAGACAGGGCCCCTCATCCTTGGTACAGCACCATGTACTTTCAAATTAGGGAAGTCTGGTGCTGCCTCCGTGCAGGCCACAGGCTTTGGGTGACCCACCAGCAGCTGCCTTCCTCCTGTGACTTACAGAAACCCTCCTTTTCCTTTCCAGTATGGAGACATTTACAACTTCCCCATCCATGCCTTTGACAAGGCTCTAGAGCAGCAGGATGCAGAGAGTGAGAGCGAGTCTGATGCAGAGAAGGAAGAAGATGAGGAGGTAATTCATGCCTTCAGCCACCTCCAGCCTTCCCTGACCTGGGGCAGCACCTGATTCACACACTGTACTTTAAATGTTGGGGTGAGGAGATTAGGGGAGGTGAACTCAGGGAAAATGTGTGTGCCAGTGGTGGCCTTGATGGCTTCTCCATGGTGAGTCTTCATGGTGCTCAGGGTGCATCTACCAGCTCCTCATTTTTCCTTCTTACAGGACATGGATCAAAGAGAGTTTGTGGAAGCAGATGACAGTGACCTCAGTGACTTTGAGGTAGGTTAAGCAACTGTTTGGAAATAACCTCCACCCTCGTGGGATCTGGTGATGGGGTGAGAGCTGGACAAATTGGATTTATGGAAGATCATGCTACAGCCAGACTGTAGCCACTGCCCTGAGCTCCTCTGGCTAGACAGCTAGGAGCAAGGAATTAGAAAATGGAATTGGATACAGGAGATAATTTTGCAGGAGGAGGTTTCTATGGTGTGTTTTGACATCACTCTTGGCTTTCTTTCCCAGGACATGGATAAGTTGGAGACAAGTAGTGATGAGGAGCAGGAAGAGGAGAAAGAAGTAGAGAAGAAAGCTTCACACTCCAAGTCTAAGGGGAAAACTCCTCTGAAAGGACCAGCCAAAAGAAAACGTCCCTACATTGAAATAGAGTATGAAGAAGAAACAGAGCTGAGCAGCAAGACCAAAGCAGCCTGACACCCTGAGCCCTCCTGGGCTGGCAGGACTCGGAGCTGGCACTGGGACTCCTCCCAGCAGCACCCTCAACAATTACTCATTTTAATCAATCATTTTCTGTAAGAAAAGAAGGCTTCCTGTCCCTACCCCAGGGAATTGCTGCAAGTTTGTCCCAACTCCTGCAGGAAGCCCAGTTTGGAAAATTACTCCCTCCAACCACACAAGGCTCAGCTCGGACTGTGCTCTGGGAAGGAATCTGGACTGGAGGGAGGTGGGAAAGTCACATTGTTCCAGAGCTGGATGTGGCACAGTGAGGTGTGGGGCTAAGAGGGGGTGGGATAAGAAAGCCAGTAACTTTTTATAAATAAAGAAGTTTACTGTACACAAGTGAGCCAAGCCCTGCTCAGCTGCTCCTCAGGCGCTCTCCTGCACCTTCCGGATGCATTCCT